TTGTAAATGATGGCTAGTGCAATTCCATATGAATTTTGAGCAACAATAGGCTTAGATTTGCATTGAGTCAAGTATGTCTGCAAGACCACTTTTTTGCTGTGAACCGAAAATATCTGCAGTTATACCTGTAGAAGGGAGCAATTTGTACGAACGCTCGACCCCTGCGTTTGCTATGGACTTATTAGTGCGATGTATTAAGAAGCGCTCACCGAATATTACTATAGGTCAATTAATTGAGAAATATGTTTTAAAAGTCAATATATTGAAAACGTATTAACATATGGCATGTGCCAAAAGATCACACTATATGCTGGTTCACACTCGCAAAAAAATTGTTAATGATCTGATTAATGAATGATCAATAAATCAGCCTGATCTGGCTTGTTTTATCGCATCGTCGCTCTTGCCGTTCTTATTGGAGTTCGAGGAAGCAGGTCATAAGCTACCACATCTGCCGCTATAACTAATGTCCCCAGGCCATTGCTCTTCCATCTTCATGACTGCGCGATGCTCTGTCTCGGGTCCATTGAGGTCCGATTTTTCCGCTCGGGATGACGAAGAAAAGTCGATCCGCTGCTCCAGCACTCGGAGGAGAGCAATACTCGCAGAATTTTCGTACTTTTCCCGAGACACGTGGAGATTCCGGAGTATTAAATATTATTCTAATATTTAATACTCCTTAGTGGATCTCCCTAGCTATTCCCGCTCAATCTCAACAGCAGTTCCCACCAACACCGACTATTTGTGAAGGCAAAAATTAAAATCAGCATAAAATTATATTGTTTTTTTTTTATTCAATTAAGAGTTCGAGTGCCTCAATGAGAAATTGTGATCATCGAGATGCATCCCAATAGTCCATATTTTAAAATTATTGTGGAATAACAATTCATATGTCAAATGCGGGCGAATCATATTAGAAGAACGTCAAGTAATCGAGCCAAGCAGCCCTAAAGCGAGAATGTTTCCATAATAGTAAAAACAATAGTGACAGAAAAGTTAAAGTAATTGGGGATGCCTCATAACTGAGGTTCGGCCTGCCACCGATCTCTGCCGCTTCATGACGAGCATCTTTTCCAATTAATCAGTACGACATTGCACAAGATTAATGAAATAAAGACACCGCGTCTAAGCGTCCGAATCAGAAGTCGAGCCAATAACGCGGTCTTCTCCCACCTACTAATGAGATCCAAGGCTGATCTCAGTGGATCTTTATATGGCTTCAAGCCCGTTCTGGGCGATACCTTCAGCTGAGGATCTGATCTCTCACTTGTAGCTAGAAGTAGTAATAAACTTGAAACTATAAGTAGTAATAAGTGTGAAGCTAGTAGTAGTAAACTTGTAGCTACTAGTAGTAGCTGTAAATTTGGCGCTAGTAGTAGTAATGAACTTGAAGTTAGTAGTAGTAGTAGTAGTAGCAGTAGTAAATTCGGAGATAGTACTTAGTAGTAATAGTAAACTTATAGCTAGTAGCTAAAGTAGTTATAAAATTGGCGCTAGTAGTAGTAGTAAACCTGAAGCTAGTAGTAGTAAATTCGTAGCTGCAGTGGTAGTAGTAGTAAACTTGTAGCTAGTAGTAGTAGTAGTGAATTCGATGCTATTAGTAATAGTAAACTTGAAGCTAAAGGTAGTAAGCTTGTAGCTAGTAATAGAAGTAAATCTGTGTTAAGTAATTTTACACACAACTTCCGCCATTAGACGGCACTTGCCGACATCGACCACCTTTAGCAATCCAAACGCCTACCCCTTCAATTATGATTTTATCTTAACCGACATGTTAAAAAAATATAACTCAGTACTCACTGCAGTGAGTGACAGAGAGCGCATTTTCTCATTGCCAAGCATCATGGATACTCGGCAATGAGGAGGAGTCACAGACCGACAGACGGACGGACGGACGGACATGACGAGAGCAACAGCGCCTTTTTTCCATAAATGAGCAAATGCGCTAAAAAGAGTATTGAAGGAAAACAATGTATCATTCTAAATAATCATTCCTATATATCACTTTCTGGATTTATGATTAAACCATTACCGTATTTTTTTATATGTACGAGGACTCAAAGATATCGTCACACGTGTCGTCAAAGCGCCATCATTAAGATGGAGCAAAAAAATTTTTTCCTAAATTTTTCATTTATCATGTTTGTTTTAAACATATCTGCTACGTTTTCCGGAAAATGTTCATACACTGCTAAATATTTATTATTCCCGTACAATTTTCAGTTTTATTTCATCGATTTTGTTCGAATTCTAATAGGGGATTTGAATTGAGGATTCCTTCTAGATTATATTAGAATTAGATAAACTTTATCGTGAACGTAAATGACTTCAGTTTCGCAGCTAGCAGTAAATCTGATGTAAAGTATCCGCTGCCCGATGGAAAATAAATAAAGATCGGTGAGCGAGAATCCATAATGCCTAACACGCAATCGGGATATAATTGAGATTTAAACGTTGATATTTTGATGAAAATGATTATACAATATACCATCGTAATTAAATATTACTTCTTATAATTTAATATCCAGTTTAGTTAAAGTTGATGTATACTTTAATTATAAATTGTGTTCTATATTCAATACAGTTTAATCATAGAAAATTCAGTTTAAACTATCTTTGAGTTCGCCACTCATTGCTAATGTTAACTTACTTTCTTTTAATTCAGTCCCATTCAACATACAAAATACTCGTGGTTACCTTGACAGAAATTCATAACTTTTTTATTGATACGTTTAATAACAGCATATACATTTCGGTCTGCTATCGCTCATCCATAATATAATTTGCCTGCACTTAATTGGGCAAAAACCTACACGATATACGGGTAGATAATTTTTAAAATTTTCAATACTCCTATCTCTGTATTAGATTAACCACGTTTTTATGATAAAAAAATCCAAAGTTTGAAGCACTCTAAAAGTTGTCGTCGAGCACGAAGCAGTTATTTATGGCTGCGACCAGCGGCGTCCAGTGACAACCATATTAGCGAGACTAAAAACTAACAAATAAATTCATCTCTACTGAAAATTCAGTTCCCGGTGGCAACAACAGTTGGCATTTACTCGTGTGTTGACGAAAAATAAAACGAAAGAATCGAATTGCCGTTTATAATTTTTTAAAGCCAGAACGTCGTTAAAATATTTTTTTATTTTGACTCCATTCCCACTATTTTGGTTATATTATCATTTGGCTTGATACATCAACAACGGGAGCGATAATAACTGAACTTGAGCTTTATTTTTTCAATTCCGTGAGTTGTATGGCGCGACAAAATAAATAGTTATTTATCTTGGTAAAAGTGCTACATAAATCTAAATTCTATAGATTACAATCCTGACAGCAAGTAACAAAAATTTAAAGTAATTATCCAGAGTCACCATTTATGCGGGCGGCGGCAGTGAGCGCGCACAAGGCACACCACCAGCCGAATTTGTCCTTAAGGTTTTCGTAGGTAAAAATAATTCTAAAAGAAGCTCTAGGTTTCATCTAATTCAAATGTTTTGAGCAATATTCCTGTGCTTCGTTTTTAGCGCATTTTCTCATTAATGAAAAAAAAACGCTATTGTGCTCGTCATGTCCGTCCGCGACTCATGTCCGTCCGTCCGTGACTTCACGGACGGACGAGAAAATGCCGCTCTCTGTCACTCACTGCAGTGAGTACTGATGTAATTTTTTCCTACACTATGCTATATTTATACCTAATCTGAAATAGATGAAAAAATTGATCGTACGAGGTTTGTAAAGATCACATAACTTAGACGGGCTTTGCTATAGCTCGTTATGCTGCAGACATAAGACCAGTTTCCACCAACACCAGACCTCATAAAGGAAGTTTGTGTCAAGTTACCGCAACTCCTACAATCAAAGAGGTTGTGGAGCGTCTTACTGCTACTATAGAGTTCAATTAAGGGAAAACTCTGGACTGTAATTACCTCATTAATCATTAATAAAGTTGTAGTTACTGTGCTACTACAGGAGGGCTTGTGCATGGGTAGGAATGTCGTGCTAAGGGTAGGAATGAGTGTCAGGATTTGGACCATATGACGCAATAATTTTTCGGATTATTAATTTAAGGTATTCGTATGCTGTAATTGCAATGTAGTTTTAATTTGCAACAACTACAGAAAAACTCAGGCAAGCATTTACTTCATTTGGCGTCTCCCAGGCAAAAATTCAAGAAACTTTGGGAAAAAAAGACTTTAGAGTTGCTATGTTTCAGAAATGTGGACGTGAGAGTTGCAGTTTCACTTTTGCAGATATATAAACTTGAGAGTTGTTATGTTGCACGAACGTGGACTTGATAGTTTCTATGTTGCTGTCGCGTCCAGTACGCGTGCGACACATACTTTTAGTTTGTAGCCTTACGGCGCGGCGCGGAGCTGTATTCGGGGTCGCAGCCACCTGCCATTCATTACAGTTTTGATGTTCCTAGGAGTTAAGCTTCCGCTGAAAGCTTCCGCTTAATTAATCTTTAGGTCAATTTGCTATAATTGTCATATTGCCTTGTTCATGTTATAGTAGTTAGTGTATATTTCTCCAGTGTGAACTAAATTCGTTTTCTTTCTTTTGGACAGAGTAAAGTAAGCTTAAATTCCGTTGATAATATAGAGTTTAAAGACTAGGGCACAAGCCATCCACGTAAGTTACTAGTGATTTGTATCTGTTTTCACGTTCATATTTATTTTAGCCAGGAGTTGTGCGATAATTTTATATTGGTTCTTTAATTACTTGGTATACTTGGTATAAATATTCAGTTTTGTATTTTCATTTGTTCTGATGTGCGGTATTTGTCCCGCAGTTTTACAAGAAGAATAAGTAAACCCGGAATGACTAAACTACTTTCCTTATCATTGTTCCTGCCTGGCTAGATGAGGTGACCATTTGTAATTTAGCCAGGACAGTTGCAGACATGTGGACTTGAGTGTTGCCTTATAGCAGAATGGTGGACTTGAAATTTATTATGTTGCAGGTACGTAGACTTGATAATTGCTACGTTGCAGGTACGTGGCAGCACGTGTACCAAGTGGCACCAGTCTCATCATCGAAGACGTGGCACCAGACCAGGTCTACCAGATCCAGATGCTGCCTCACCCCGGCACCTCCAACATGACCAGCATTTACTTCCAGCTCCAAGGTATATAGTCACTGCTATTTTTAGCGCATTTTCTCATTTATGGAAAAAAGCGCTATTGTGCTCGCCATGTCTGTCCGTCTGTCTGTCTGTCCGTCTGTCCGTCTGTACGTCAGTGACTTCACGTTTTCGTCGACAAGAAAATGCGCTCTCTGTCACTCACTGCAGTGAATACTGAGTCATACTTTTTATCTTGCAGAGAAAAATTTCATGATGACTATAAATCAGCAAAGTACAAAATAAAATCGGATGTCTATTTCCTCCAAGGATACTTTGTTACATCTCTTAATCATTTTTCTTTCTATATAGCTGCACAGAAAGCTTCTTTTATAAAGCATTTTCCTACCTAATACACTTCTTTTATTTCATTAATTAACTATAATGAGAGAAAAATCTAATTACAAAGAAGTTTAAGTCACCAGATTTTGCTTCTGAATTTGTTTTGTAAAAATATTCAGCATTCTCTGTAAATTCTCAAAAATTGGGGCGTGCGCAGTTGTACGCTAACGATAGATATGATTTTTCACGTGTACGTTGCAATACATTGATTTTAACGTCCACATTATCATATAATTTGTTGGGTAATTTTACTTGTCTATAATATTCCACGTCTGCATTTCCAAAGTTCTTGAATGTCTCCGTTCACTCCAATTTCATTCATAAATTTTTATTGTTGAATCGTCGCATATGTCGTCCACACATCGTTCCTGACTCACATGTGCTGCTTGTGGCTCAAGTATAAATTTTTGCCGGCAGATGAATGCCAAGTCGATAGTAATTTCACGCGTTTAAGTAAGATTATATTTATTATGAAGACCACAACCATTCACGTTACTCAATGCCATACTTCAATGAAGTAGGCTCAATTAATGGGGTACTTCAATAAAGTAGGCTCAATTAATGGCATACTTCAATGAAGTAGGCTCAATTAATGGCATACTTCAATGAAGTAGGCCCAATTAATGGCATACTTCAATAAAGTAGGCTCAATTAATGGCATACTTCAATGAAGTAGGCCCAATTAATGGCATACTTCAATGAAGTAGGCCCAATTAATGGCATACTCAACTTCATTCAGAAAATAAATGTGGTCATATTATCCAAATAGTGTGACGCTTTCTGCTCGTAGCAGAGATATGTTCTATTGCTAGACCAAATGATTCAGGATGACCCACATGAGGTCGAAAATGACATCAATATTAGGACAAAGTCTCCCTTATGTCGCTGAGTGTTACAAGGCGCATGGACTTCCTTCGGCTCTACCAATTACCGACAAATTGACAATAATTCGATGCCAATTTTCCCCGTGTTATCGTCGGAAATAACTGACTATCAATTATAGCATCCATCAATTACCTTAATGAAAGCTTCACTCATTAAGATGAATAGGTCATATTGTACAAATAATGACATACAATCTTACAAGCAGCACGAGCGAAGATAGGACGTAGCACCGATACGCACGTCCTGCTAGATAATAGTGGTTCAAAATGACCCACATATGGGCAATATGAACATCGATTTTAGGACAAAGTCCTCACTCTATTTTCTTAGTGTTCATTCGATTGTAAGCTCAATATTCTCTTCCGCTTAATCTCATATTTTTATTCTTAGTCACAATAATAATAAATGTAGCTTTCATTCTTTCTTTTTCTTTAATAATCTCGTATTTTTATTCATAATCATATTAGTTATAAATGTAGTTTCCTTTTTCCTTTTTCTTTCATAATCTCTTATTTTCATTCATAATCATAATATAATTAAATAAAGCTTTCTTTTTCATTTTTCTGTCATAATCTCAATCGTTTCCAGGCAACACGACGTGGACCCACTGGCCCGAACTGATGGCGGGGCCAGACGTGCCCCGATACTCAGGGCTCAACCCTGGGTCCCTGAGGCCCGTGACCGGCCCGCCTGGGCCCAGGGTCGTCAGGGTCGAAGAGGTCAGCCTCATCGTGCTCGTGTTGGCTCTTTGGATGGTCGCCATCTTGCTTTTTGTTCACAGGTGGGTGATGAATTGCACTTAGAAATTTTGAAGACTTGGTACAGATAGTGACTCACTTCTTAGAATAGAATAGATTAGAAGTGTCGGCACTGAAGTAATAGGATGTTGCCGATTCTTGAACTTTTCGTGACTTGATTCACAAGGGATCCGGCCTTTGGAACCCGATCTTTCCATAGCTGACGATTGATTGAGATAGCTGCTGGACTTATTGCCTGGTCCGTAATTTGCTAGGCATTTTAAGACTGAACATATGCTCCTGCATAGCTTCGTCTAGTCTGTTTTTGAAGATATTCATACTCGGAGCTTCAACGATGGTATCAGGGAGGCTGTTCCATATGTCGGTGACTCGAAGCGAGAAGAAATGTTGTCGCGCGGATGTGTTCTTGCTCTGTATGGGTGGTCCTGACCCAGCTTTACACGGCAAAAACACGTATCTGTGCTACTCGCATAAAGTGTCAATATTTGAACAATATTACCCATTTATTTGTTTGATTACAGGCTTAGTTGAAAGTTTTCGGTGTCGCAGTAGTAACATAGGTAACACGTTCTTATGCTATTGATGATATTTTTCTAATGAAAAGTCGTTTAATTCCTGCCCTCGGTTTTTGATTAATTATCAGTAAATATGCTATTTCTCTCTTAATATGCTCTGTTTTGACACATAAATAAATAACCAATGTAACCCATGCTTCATCTTCAATTTAAACTTGAAAATGAATTCTTAAAGAAGTTTACATTAAATTAACTAACATCAAAAAAGTATACACGACAAAGAATAATAATTAAAGAATGAAGTAAGTGACCTACTTCAGACCTGTGAATTGAAGCTGTTAAGTTATTTTCGTTCAATATAACGGTAAATTAAAGCTTTTGGCGAAGTACATTGAAAAATTCATATTATATTTGATGTTTTTATGGAAAATTTTTCTTCGCTGGCAAAATTAGCGATCCACAAGAAGACGGAAATATATGAAGTGGAAGTCTGATGTTAGTGACAGCCTCGACAATATTGCAACATTTTTGCGTTTTCCAAATATTTTTACCATCCATGTTAATAGGTTTCATTGCGCATCAACCACTCAATCCCAAGAAACTTGAATCAACAAACTCGTTATACGTGCCTTCATGTTTCAGCGTTCTTCATTAAAATTAAAATTAATACTTCATAAATTGTGAAGGGTTTCTCAGAGTTGTTTATGGTTGTTCAATTCTATTAACTGCAAAAGAATTCAATTCTACTAACTTCAAGTGTGAGGCTACGGGTGCGTGCTGCATTTCAATGGAGACGTTCGCTCCCGCAAAATGTTTTATGTAACCCAAGAATTAACGAGAAACACCAGGCAAGTAAATGAACTTCTTCCTCAACAAAGGCGCGGTGGGAATCCAAACTTCAATGGAAGTGTCTAGAAGTGCGAGCTGAAAATGTTGGCGCATAGAGGGCACGGAAAAGAATAATGTTTGTGCTTCGTCTTTCCGCTTCGGTTATTTGGTTTTAATTAAGATGCTCTCTGTCCCTCAATGAGAATGGGGAACTTTTGTGGGTGAAAAGCTTTTAAAGTTACGTGATGAATTTCAGCGATCATTAAATTTGAAATCATATTTCATACCAAGCTACTCTTAACAAACTTAACTCGGATTTACTAAATAGCATTTTATTGGTCTAAATCTGCAAAAATCAGAAATTAGTGTATTATTTCTCATCAAAAAACCACCAGCCCCATCAAAATTTTGAGTTGGTTTCGACCCAGAATTAGGAACCGCCTACTGCTCGTACCGCACGCAAATCAGCTTCTCTATGTCCGCTTCGGCTTAGGGTTTGAATGGCAGCCTCTGGGCAGCTTGCTAGCTCGGTATGACTCGGCTTGGCCTACACTTCTCATACTCTCCTGAGGTGACTTTAAAATCGGAAAGGAGATTCTGACCAGCATGTCGGAAAGGAGATTTTGACCAGAAACTGATTTCGATCGGATGGACAAGCAGACTCAGAATGACTCTGCGCCGAGTGCAACAACTATTCGGCCGTACCCTAGGCGGTCCCAAATTTTGTTAGGGAGTGCTCAGAAGAGAACTGTTTACGCTATTCAACAGGATCATATCTATTGTGGAACTGAATCATGTTGGCTGCACGATCATTCCGCTTGAAAATGTGTCTTTGCATCACATACCTTAAAAAATATAGATTCATGATCGAGCGACCATGCATTAGAGCCGCCTAGGACTTGGACCGCACGTAAATCAGCTTCTCTAGGTCCGCTTCGGTTCAGGGTTCGAAGGGCAGGCAGCCTCTGGGCAGCTTGCTAGCTCGGTTTGACTCGGCTCGGCCAACCCTTGTCATACTCTCAGGCGACAAGGAAAGTCGGAAAGGATATTCTGACCGTAAACTGATTTCGATCGGGTGGCCAAGCAGACCCCGAATAACTTTGCACTGTATAGCGACCATTCGGTTAAAGCCTGGGAGGTCCCCGAATTTTGTTAGGGTTGGACAGATCGATTTAAATCCTTTCAGCAGCGGTTAATGGACCAGGTCGTTTGTTGGAGAACTGAAGTGGTGGCGTTGTACAGTAAAATATATTAGGGTTTGAAATAGCTAAATAAAAGCTTTCCCATGTTCATTGCAGTAAAATTAACAGTTGTCTGAACTCTCAGAGTATCGATGGTTTATTTTTATTCCTCATTTTTGTGTTATTGGAAGACAATACGAGCTGTTGGATATGAGAGTAGGGAATGTGGGTAAAAAGGGGACAGCTTCAATATGCACGGCTGTTGAAATTTATTGAAAAAATTTGCTAATTATATCCGTACCAAAATTTTTCATGACAAATTATGAATAGGTTTTATAGGCTAAACACTCAGTTGGGATTTTTACATAAAATTTTCGTTATAGAAACGTCTCTCAAAAATTGTTATAGTTCATTAATTGCAAACACATCGCGCATAAATATTATATAATTTATTTTGATCTCCCTGCGTGATGTATATCGATTCTTTGTACTCAGTACTGACTGACGAACAACAGACTGAGTTCGCTAATAAAATGATAGCATTTTTTGGGCTTCAGAGCGTTAATCAAATTTAAAAAAAAACTAAGAGACATTCACGTTTCCAACAAACGGTTTAATCAAAGCCGGTATTATAATAACTTGTCCTCTCTGAACTTTAATATGGTATGTAATTAGATAATATTAAAACCTAACAAACCAAAACAATTCTCTTAACGAGCAACACGTATATTGTTAGAACTTACTGATCATAGCTAAACTACTGTTCGCTATAATAAAAAATATAACTCAGTACTCACTGCAGTGAGTGACAGAGAGCGCATTTTCTCGTCGACGAAAACTTGAGGTCACGGACAGACGGACAGACAGACAGACAGACAGACGGACGGACGGACATGGCGAGCACAATAGTGCATTTTTTCCATAAATGAGAAAATGCGCCAAAAATAACAGAAAAAACTCTGATCTATATATTTTTCTGGCCTTTGAAAGGCTATTGTATCTTAAAATTTCTATTATATACTTTCCTGTTACCTAACTTTTAACTCAAAGACTCTTTTAATCCCCTTGGATGCGATCCTGTTAATTTTCCCGACATTTTTATTATAAAATTTAGACACGAGATGTAGTGGTCTCAGGCGATCGTGCCCAAGCACCAGCTCTCGCCCGCCCCAGAGGCGATAAGGGGACCCTGCGTTATAATACATGACAGTTGAAGTGGGTTTGGTTACTAGTGAAGGATATAGTTAATGCGCGATAAAAATAAATGGTAATATCTTAAAATTGTGAAGGTCAAATGGTGATTTCCTTAAATAGTGAAGGCAAAATGATGATATCCTCATATTATGAATGTTGAGTGGCGATATTGCGCGATAAAAGAAAAATGGTGATACCCTAAAATGGTGGCTTCCTTAAATAGTGGAGGGGAAATGATGATATATTCAAATTATGAGTCGTAAATGGTGATATTCCAAATTATGAAGGAAATACCGGGCGATATGTTAGAAATTCATGTAATGGAGTGATCTGGTAGATAAGTGGTGAAAGCATAAGGGAGTGAAGGTAATAGTCTGTGAAAAAGTAATAACGTGAAAATTTCAAAATTTCATCAGCAAAATGAGTGAAAAGCGAACTCCATTTCGTGAGCCAGGGTCCACCAAAAAACAATGCATCATGCTCAATTTCCAGAAATAAATTAATTCCATCTTAAATTTTATTGACTCGGTTAAGCTTCCATATTATTTTTCGGCGGTAAAGTACGACCCGTATAAGTAAGTCATGGATTACAAATGTCAGAAAGAATCTAGTGAGGTGACAAGCACTCCAGTTAAGCCTTCGTGATCGCATTAGCTTCCATGAAATGCCGAGTTTGCAAATCGCTTTTACACTGAGAGAAATGACTGAGAAGCGGCCAAATAGAGATGCATTTTCAGCGCATTTTCTCATTAATTGAAAAAAAGGTGCCATTGTGCTCGTCATGTCCGTCCGTCTGTCCGCCTGTCTGTCTGTCTGTGACTTCACGTTTACGTCGATTTTGAGAAAATGCGCTCTCTGTCACTCACTGCAGTGAGAACTGAGTTATATTTTACCGTTTTGTGCGTGTCATCCTAACCCAGTATGGGTCAGAAAATGGACGTATCGGTGTTATGATTAGAAAGTGTTGCACTATTTGAACAATACGACCTATCTATTTTTCTTCGTGCTGGTCTAGCGTGCTGCTAACTGTCGTGTCATTATCCAAACATACACGAACAAACGCCAGAATTTGTAACGACCGAGTTGAATGGAACTTTACTAAAGGAGGTAATCTTTGAATCGATTCATATTATCTATGGAAATTAAAAAGAACTTGCATTTCCACATGCATGAGTTTCAATAACCTTTTTTGTAATATTCGCGGCTGTAATTTTTGAGTGAGTAATACCTAACAATAAATTACATCAATTTGTAGCAATAAATACTTTGATTCTACTCGTGGTACTCTGGCTCCATACTCACCTTAAATTTACTTGATTTCAGATCTTCATAGATCAAATCTTTTAAATATAAACCAAAAAAATCTCCTTAATGGATGGTCTAGCCTCAAAACTATCTCCGAAACAAAATGATTGATTCTTCTGATACTTCTTATAAATATGTAAATCGTTAGAAGAAAACATTTTGCTCAGATGTAGAAATCGGAAGATAACTTGAAATTTATAAAAAACGCTCTTCATTTTTAAGATTGCGTATTTTGAAATTTTGATTGTTCAGGTGAACCAAATAAGTCAAATTTATTGAAAAAAGAAGAAAATACTAAAAAAAGATTGGCACTGTAGCCCCATCCAATCCAAAAACAAATAATAATTGCAAAAATTGTAATAAAACTGTTATTTTATATTGTTCAAAATGGCCTAATGCGGAAACTAAAGGGCACAAATAAATAAAATTGGAACTGTACGACACATCTCGCTCCTAGCTATTAAATGAGCTCAAAAACAATTTCTTGCCTACGAGAAAAATAGCTCCTGTTATGGATTGAACGATATTATTATCTAGAGATGCGATAAAACACGATAGATTCAGATTTTTGAGAAAATTGTATGCCCATGAAATGTCTTGAAGGGATTTAATTTATTATGGAAGTTCAGCTAGGTAGTCAATATTAAGTATCTTTAACGTTCCAAATTAACAGCAGTTGAGAAATATGAACATCAGCTATTTTCAAAATATTTTTCAGTGTTGTTCTGGCATGAATTTCAAAAATTTCACTAAAATTTCAAATAATTTAGAAGTTTATAGAACCCAGACAGTATTACATGTGTTAAAGGGAAATATTGAATTCTCATGTAATAATTCCAAATTTCTGCGTTCAATTCCCGGAGTTCGCAATATCATGTGAATGCCTGCACTCGTGATAACAGCTCTTCCAATTACCGCCAATGGAATTCTGCAACCCGAGACAGCGGGAGCCGCGAGGCCGACGCTGCAAGACTAGAGCCATCCGTATTCGGGGTCTGCTGTCGGCGGTCTAGGGGCGGTAATGCGGAACGCAGGATGAATGTTGCAGCAACTGACTTTCGTCAAACGAATTTACTAATCAAAACCATTTACCTATCAGAACTTTTTAATATACTGGGAATTTTCACTCTGTTGTTTACCACGTTTACCACAATGAAACTGAACTCCGAAACGTTTTATCTTTTGCTGAAATTGCGAATTTTTCAATACTTTCTTTGCTTCTAAATACTTTTCATATTTTTTCTTCACTTTAAGAGTATTCACCTCACCTGTTCAATTTCAAGAGTAACCAGCGCTTCGCGGATACTCTTAAAGTATCCACAAATCGGTGTTAGGGATATAAGTAATGAAAACATATAATTTTATTCTCAAGATGGGGCAAGATCCGGATGCTGGAGCCATACCAGCCCGAGTACAAACCCATCACGGAGCCCGGTACCCCGCCAGGGTCCACGCTCACTGGCCCCATCATCGGACCGTGCGGCCACTACTCGGTGGCCACCTCCACCTACCGGGGGCCTCCGAGGAAAAGTTCATCTCTTTGCTTCACGCCTTCTATGTTCCAAACTGTGAGTGTCTGTAGGATAAGATCAACTTATTTGTGTTTTATACTAATTTTGTGTTTGAAACGTATTTTGTGTTTGAAACTCATTTTGTGTTTGAAACTCATTTTGTGTTTGAAACTTATTTTGTGTTTGAAACTCATTTTACTCATTTCAGGTTTGAAACTTATTTTGTGTTTGAAACTCATTTTACTCATTTTAGGTTTGAAACTTTTTTTGTGTTTGAAACTCATTTTACTCATTTTAGGTTTGAAACTTATTTTGTGTTTGAAACTCATTTTACTCATTTTAGGTTTGAAACTTTTTTTGTGTTTGAAACTTGTTTTGGTTTTGAAACTTATTTATGTGTTTGAAACCTATTTTGTGTTTGAAACGTATTTGTGTTTGAAACTCATTTTGTGTTTTAAACTTATTTTGTGTTTTAAACTTATTTTGTGTTTTAAACTCATTTTGTGTTTTAAACTTATTTTGTGTGTAAAACTTATTTTATGTTTGAAACTTATTTGAGTTTGAAAGTTAATTTGTGTTTGGAACTTATTTTGTGTTTGAAACTTATTTTGTGTTAGAAACTTATTAGTGTTTGAAAGTAATTTTGGTCCTGAAGCTTATTTTGTGTTTGAAACTCATTTTGTGTTTGAAACTTATTTTGCGTTTAAAACTTATTTTGTGTTTGAAACTTTATTTGTGTTTGAAACTTATTTTATGTATGAAACTTATTTTATGTAAGAAACTTTATTTTTGTTTGAAACTTATTTTGTGTTTGAAACTCATTTTGTGTTTGAAACTTATTTTGTGTTTGAAACTTATTTTGTGTTTGAAACTCTTTTTGTGTTTGAAACTTAGCTTGTGTTTGATACTTATTTTGTGTTTGAAACCTATATTGCGGTTTGAAACTTATTTTGTGTTTGAAACTTATTTATGTGGTTGAAACGTATTATGTGTTTGAAACTTTTTTTGTGTTTGAAACTTATTTTCGATTGAAACTTATTTTGTGTTTGAAACTTATTTTGTTTTGAGACTTATTTGGTGTTTGAAACTTATTTTGTGTTTGAAACTCATTTTGTGTTTGAAACTCATTGTGTGTTTGAAACTTATTTTGTGTTTGAACCTTATTTTGTTTAAATGGAACGTAAACTTAGTCTAGTTTCAAACTAGTCTAGTTTCAACGTCTAGTCTAGAACGTCTAGTTTCAAACTAGAAAGAATGATAAGCAAATGTCTTGAGTTAAGGGATAATGATCACGAAAAATAGGTGGCTTTCTAAACGTTGATATGGTATTTCTGAACATAGATATGATATATATTGCTGAGCATATATATTATTAATATTACTGAACATATATACTATAAATATTACTGAACATATACTAAAAATATACTGAACATATTTCTGAAAATCATTATGAACATAGATATATAGCAATCTGTAAGACCTGCAATGCTTATGGAAACCCAACATTACATAACAAAGCACGCATCAATTTCTCGACTTCACTTCAATATTCCATAAAAGGTTGCAGAACACAGTGCATGTTATATGACTGATATTATTCACAGCACCCGAACAAATGGAAAGCCTGCCTCGTATCAGCAGTTTTTTCTCGCGTTATGCGTCGCTCATTAACGAAGGAGAAACCGAACACAAAGCGCCTTCACTCCCTCGCTTTTCAATGAAGCCTAATTAATTAATAACAGGTTTGGAAAAAACAACCTTCTATCCTCTTTTTGGTCGTTGACTTATTAATTAACAAAAAGAAAACTCAATGCATTTTATTTACTCGCTTCAAGCACACGGGTTGACTACTCCATTGTTTACTTATCCATCAATGAATAGCGATCGCTATGGTCATTACCAAGATTAGTTGCAATTAAATTGAAGGTGAACAATACATTTATTTTGTTATACTATTTCAGATTGTTCCCGTTCTATAGGTTATAATAGCAGATTCTTTTTAGTAAGTTTACATTACAGTAACGATTGTTTTTTGAAACGATTTCTAAACCACGTTACAACCCTATTAACACGTTGACTACGTATTGGTACATATGCGTACCACGAAATGTATTTCTCCAGGACGAAGTGGTGCATAATTCAGGTTGCCTAAAATCGGCCAAATCCGAGAACAGAAAAGGCCAAAAAAGGCCGATAACCCATATACCAGTTTATTTGTAGGTTCCGCTATAAAAATTCCATTTATTTTCTTTTTCCAATACCTAAAATTTAATTAGGAAGTACCCCTATCATAAATTTTAGCCGGCCAACGCAATTGAGAAAAACTAAATCACGGAAATTGTCCGGAAAAAATAACCGTCTGGCAAACCTGTTTAAAAACAGTACAAAAAATGAAATAATAGTACAAGATGAAGCGATCGTAGTCAACGTGTTAAGAAGTCGTTATGAAAAACAATCACGCGATGACTTACGAGTATTCGGTGTATTATTTGTATAATGCAGAATAAATATACACAGCATTATTCCAAGCCCATCCTTTCATGAGAGACATAAGCAATGTAAAACTGTTGTCTACACCACTACACCAGACGACAAATATACCGCCTTATTATTCCCTCACCACTACACCAGACGACAAATATACCGCCTTTTTATTCCTTCACCACTACACCAGACGACAAATATACCGCCTTATTATTCCCTCACCACTACACCAGACGACAAATATACCGCCTTATTATTCCTTCACCACTACACCAGACGACAAATATACCGCCTTATTATTCCTTCACCACTACACCAGACGACAAATATACCGCCTTATTATTCCTTCACCACTACACCAGACGACAAATATACCGCCTTATTATTCCTTCACCACTACACCAGACGACAAATATACCGCCTCATTATTCCTTCACCACTACACCAGACGACAAATATACCGCGTCATTATTCCCTCACCACTACACCAGACGACAAATATACCGCCTTATTATTCCCTCACCACTACACCAGACGACAAATATACCGCCTTATTGTTCCCTCACCACTACACCAGACGACAAATATGTCACCTTTTATCCACGAAGCCTCAACGTCAAATAATGCGAAGCATTGACGCATATAAAAACCTTACAGGAGCTAAAAGTCATGTAATACGAACTGGTACGTTTCATGTAGTCTAATAAAATTTTTCCATCACAATATTTGACGATGAAGTGACTATAGAGTTGATTCTCGTCAACCATTACATCTATTTCTGTGATCCTTTATTATAAAGGGAATTTTAAGACAGCAATGTGCAACAATTCTGCCAATGTCTGCTGCATCGTACTTGCCTATCGAATTTTTTAACTTTCTTCATCCAACCTTATAACAGAAAAATTTGCGAAAAATGTTATTTTAAAAGTTACGAAGAATGTTTGTAAGGACCTTTTCGTCCCTGGCTCGAGCCTAATTTACTTCAAGCTCGAACTTCTCTCCGCGCTCTTAATTAATTGAAAGATTTTTAGATGCCTTTCGGATGACACAACTTGAAGCCATGTAAGGTTTTCCAATACTTCCGAGAGAACTTACCTCGAGCCTTTATACTGCGCTGCTTCAGGCCTTGATTAAAACGAAACTTTCAGCCAAAAATTAGACCGTTGATCAATACCGGCCATAGAAGCTGCCTTCTGCGGCGTTGAAAGTTTCAAATTTTTAGCTTTAGAATGTACACAAAAATGGCTTCTTTACAGAGAAATGCGCTACGCAATTTTTTGCTGGTCGCATTATTAGTGTTGGTATTTTTAATAAAATATTATTGACATGCTAGTTGAGCCCCCCAATCAGTTCATAATTCGGATGCCATACATAAATTTTAAATTTTCTACGTACACTGGCGACCTAATTTAAAGACTAGTTTCTGACTCAATAGTTAGTACGTATCACAGGACATACAAATGCACCATCAATTTATTTGTAGTTCAAAATTTCCTTCACACATTAGCGGTATATTTTGAAGGTTTATTACTTGCTCTAAAGTTACCATCTATCTAATGCCCCAGACTGCTACTCATTAATTCCTGCCGCGGCAATCATGCAAGTTTCCCGGACGAGTCGGGCAGCGGTCGCCAGATTTCTTTATCCTTCATCATGCAATTTCCGCTCGTGGAGCTGATCCGCTGTTATCACGCACGTGATCGATGGCTTCATCAGGACTAATAACAATAATTTTCTCAGACTTATTCGTCTGCAGAGATCTTTTAAGTTTCAGGGAACGATCTTCATTATGCACGCACTGCAGAAATATAATAGTTCAAGGGAAATACCTTCATTTTACGTCCATTTATACTCGACTCTGAATGTTACAGTTTCCTATAAATGTTCGCTCCCTCTCTCTAGCCATAGATAATCAGCCCATTAATTCGCTGACGTGGGCCGAGTAACAAGAGACAGGATATCTCAAGTTCCTAATTAGCCGATTTCCAATGAATTAATTTTCCTGTGGAAATTTCGACGCAAGGGAACTCAGGTTCCCGATCTCATTCCATAGAGGCCGCCCAAGCAATAGTGGAGCCGGTATTACGTGAATTATTACAGAATTATTATTATATTACATGAATTATTAAAGAAATATTATTATATTACATGAATTATTAAAGAATTATTATTATATTACATGAATTATTAAAGAATTACAGGACGAAGTCATGAAATTCTACTTGAAAGACGAATATCTCGTATTTAAAATACAAAGAGAAATGAAGTGAAGTCTTTGTTTTTCTTAATTCACATTTTGATATAACGTGAATTTATGATACCTCTTTGCCTTCCCTTTATGAAGATTTAATTCTAGTTAAAAATAAAAATCGCATTTAACCAAGGTGTTTTTCGTTAATATTTAATAAATATCAGAGAAATTTCCACCCTAAATTTAAATAAAGTTGGAGAACAAATATTAAAAATCAATTCAAGTATGATTCTTGTCAGAAATTATTGCACGTTTCTAGGATTAATATTGTCTACAATATGCTTCGAAACATTAGTCGAAAGAGTCATACTTACACAAAGGCTTATAAATTCGTATTTTCAAGTTTTAATCCCAATAATTATACTCAGACCAGTACGTTTCTTGCACACGGTTTTCAGTTTAAGGGATTCCATATTACTCATTACTAATGAAAACGTGCCTTGTTTGCCGTTACCCAGTGAAAATTTACAGTCGCGGCAGCTTCTGATTTGGAGTAGCAGAAGCTGGGGCGACTCTAAATTTTGTTACCACCCTGTCAAAATTTTCGTGCCGATTAAGGTCGTTTTAGAGGAACTATATTCGGCTTAGGGGTGAATCAGGAGCAAGTCGGCCACGTAGGGTGTTTTGCTTCTATTTACCAGCCTCTTTTGGAAGTCAATTGCCCGTTAATGCGGACATAGAGCTTCTAATTTACCCGGCCATAAGAACTTGGGGCGTCCGTGTGCCAGCGGCTGACAGGTCTTCGAATTTCGATAGGGCAGAAGCTGGGGCGACTCTAAATTTTGTTAGGGAAGCTCCCTAGCGTCTGTGAGTCGACCAGCTCAACTCCCTCAATTTTGTAGCACAGACCATGACAGCGCTGAGACTTTCTTGTGAACTAAATCAATTCATCACTGAGAGCAATGAGTGAGACCTTGTCCAAATAGCGATGCAGTTTGTGTCCTTGTATGTCACCCTGGCCAGGTTTGGCCAGAGTGACATATTTCCTTCATCTTATATGTACCTACAGGACATGTACCGAAACCTAGTTAAAAATATCTGTAAGAATCGGCAACAGGATATGGGCCTATTTCTTCGGTGCTGACACTTATATTCTATTCTATTCTATTCTATTCTATTCTATTCTATTCTATTCTATTCTATTCTATTCTATTCTATTCTATTCTATTCTATTCTATTCTATTCTTATTCTGTTCTATTCTGTTCTATTCTGTTCTATTCTGTTCTATTCTGTTCTATTCTGTTCTATTCTGTTCTATTCTGTTCTATTCTGTTCTATTCTATTCTATTCTATTCTATTCTATTCTATTCTATTCTGTTCTATTCTGTTCTATTCTGTTCTATTCTGTTCTATTCTGTTCTATTCTGTTCTATTCTGTTCTATTCTGTTCTATTCTGTTCTACTCTGTTCTACTCTGTTCTACTCTGTTCTATTCTATTCTATTCTATTCTATTCTATTCTATTCTATTCTATTCTATTCTATTCTATCTTCTATTAGGCAAATATTACCAAGGCACTGTTTATACAAAGACAGTTATACGTTAAAATTAATGTAAAACATGCCCAAATTTGCCGTCAGTTGCCGAGCTACAGAGGCCGCCTCACACACCAGCAGTCGACCACGTCCCGCCACAGTCTCCCCGCCAGCGCCCGCCACGCCGCCCGTCGCCGAGCCTTCAAGATGCGTTCAGATTCTTTATCTCATCAGGTGATGAGACCTCACCACCACCATCACCATCACCTGCATCACTACCACCCCTTCTGCAGGAAAGCCAGGAGTGCTGAGAACCTGCGCAACTGCAGGATGAGCTTCAATCAAAGTAAATCAAATTCATAGGATTATAATTAGTTTTAATTCTGATATTAAAATAATCCTGTCATTGTAACGAAGGGGAATCAAATTCTCATGGTGAATTTTGATATATTTTCCCAATACTATTTACTTCAAGTTAAATTTGTCGGTGTGCCACGTGAATGTTCAAGGGAGGAGAAGATTAATTTAATCAAAATCGATTAAATAAATAAATTGTTCAAGAAGTCAGTCTCATAACTACAAGGCGAAGCCGAGGGAAGAGTTTATTTGATATCAAGATAATAGATGCAACGCTTCATTTGAAGTTAAGATAGTGAATGGAGGACGTTTGAAAATGCTCGGAACATAAGTAAATATTTTCCGTATACCGAGCAGCTCATTTCAAGAATTCCAGTTACGCCTTGTGCGAAATTGAAAGAATTTTTTGTCGAACGAAAAGTAAAGGTCCAGTCATATTAAGTATGGCATGGCTTCGTAGAAAAAGTATTCATGTCACAATTTACGACGTTTCACCAAATTACAGCAGTTCATATGGTGAATAAATTCTCAACGGCAGGTGATGGTATATATAGACATTAAATTGTTATAATATGTCAACTATATCACACGTCTACCATTTTTAATCACCCTAAATAAAGATATCATCGGAGTTAAATCATCTTTAAATTTTCAAGAGAAAAATCGATATCCCAATCCTATAAGTTTATTGCAAAAAGCATGCACAGACAATTATTATTAAATTAGACATGTATTTTCTAGTCTAATTCACCTTAATTTACATGTCAAGATTCCGTTTTTGAACAAGCAAACGAGTGTCAAATTCCTGTTTAATAAAATGCTAATGTTATAATTCTCTTTGAAAAAATTTACAATATAGGAAATAACCGTTTGAGTTATTCTGTACGTGGGTTTTTCTTCAAATTGGGGGTGAATATCTTCCATTCATTAATGATGGTAATTCTTATTGCAAGTTCCCTGTTACTGTGCTAAGGTAATGTGCCGCAATGTCGACGGCGGCGCCGGAGACTTGGAACATCATCGCGACCTGAGCTGAAATGTCGCAGGATATCTCGCGAGATTAGTGATAGTGAGGGCAATGGTACATTAGAGATTATGCTTACCTAGGGAAGGAAATACAATACATTGAAGTGAGATGTTATGCTTAGCTATGACTGAAATATATTTTATTCAAAAGAGATATTATGCTAAGCTAGGGACGGAAATACAATACATTTAAGTGAAATATTATGATAAACTAGGTATGGAAATACGAGACACTGAAGTGAAATATGCTTAGCTAAGAACGATAATACTATAAATTGAAACAAGATATTATGCTTAGCTATGAACAAAAATACAATACATTGAAGCGAGATTTATGCTTAGCTATGGGACGGAATTACAATACGTTGAAGCGAGATATTATGCATTGCTATATAAGGTATTGAATTACAATAAATCAAAGCAAGAGATTATATTCAGCTATAGATGGAAACACAGTTCATTAAGGCCAGAGATTGAGTTGAGCTCTTGTATAATGCTTCAATGATTTCATAATGCTTTATTGATGGTAAATTTACTAGGGTAAAAATACAAAATAGCAAAGCAGGATATGATATTATACATAGGTATAGGAATTGAGTTCTATTACCTAATGGTAGGAAATTTTGTTGCTGGGGCTGACTTTTTAGTATCTATATCAACCTGCGGAATTCGATTCAACACATGACAGGAGTTCAACTAAATCGACGTATATATAGGAGACTAGGTTTAGCTTGGAGCTGTGTTCCAGTAGGTCAATATGTGCGATAACGTGTAGCTGAAGACCGAATTAGTTAATGAGATTATAGCTAAAATAAACGATTTTTTAATGAGGCCCGAGCGATAAGAGATCGTTCTAAGAGATGGAGACCATCAAGAAACATTACTACCTTATCATCGCCCGAAATTCTGAGTGACTTATTGGTACAGCATTCATACGAGGCACGTAAGAATGGCCCGGATTATATACCAAAATGTGTTTATTTGAATCCTATCATTGAAAATCACCTGTAAATAAAGGAGATATTTAAACGAATATTAAACATGCACAACATTAAGTAATGAGTGCATTGTACTAGGTTCTCACCCTTGAAATGAACTGTGAGTGTTTTTCGTTAAGTGCGTCAAATTGTTTACGTTGACAATTTATATTATATTCATTCTCATGATATTTCCCACTTAGTCTTTCAGTCCGCATTTGTAAAAGTTTTTTTACCGACTAATTACACTTGAAGCGCAGGTTAGAAAAAAAACTGTAACATAAAATTAGTTATTATCAAATTCCTCGTTGATTCTTACTTACTCTGTGAAGAGCCTCGTGAAAAATATTCCCAGACGTGAAACGATTTTTGTCGCGCTTTTGTCGAGGGCTGTACAAATGTTTTGGCAAAAACCTGGACAATATTCGTAATGTGGATAAAATTTGCGTACACTGTCTCGAACGAGTCGTGCTTAGCATCAAAATCCTGGGCATTATCCTCCATCTCTTCAGCCTTTGTTTTGGTTGCACGGACTCCATGATACCAGGAGAATCCTGCTGCTATCATTTTCTTTATTTTCTGTTATAATGAGATGAAAACGATAAAGATATGGCCAATATGCGATAATGATATGACCTCAGAAGGAATAGTTAGTTGACATAAGCGTCATGAATAATAGGTTATAATCTGATAATAATCTGATGATAACCTGATAATGACCTGATAACAACCTGAGGATAACTTTATAATAAAATGGCAATAATTTGGTAACAATCTGACAATAACCTAATGATAACCTTCTAACAATATAACGTGTTTATCCTCAAGGTTTCGAGGAACCGTTCGAGATCAGGACGGCAGGGAGCAGCTGTAGTCCCTACGCCTACACCGCCGGCATCAAGCCGCCCTACCGCCGGAGCGCGAGCGTCGCGGACTCCGACAACCTCGCCGCGTCATCCGGCGCGCCGCTACACAAGCCTGCGGGCGGCGCGAAGACAAAGTGGAGTCGCTGTGTCAACTCCAGCTTGGAAAACTGCAGAGGAGCTTCCCTGCCAATCACTTCGCATGAACAGAAAAATACACATGTGCTTGAAACTGGTGCGTCTAAAACGTTACATCGTAATTAATATTATGATTTTAATTGGTATTATGATTTTAATTGGGATGTGACTGCGTGGATGTGCTAATTTTTTTATTACTTTTAGTTATTTATTGACGGTTCTTGATCTTTTTCTTTTTTTGCTTAAATTATTACTTTAGATTTTACTCTTAGGAATGATTTTAGAAAGTCATTTCAGTGTGTAATGTTTATGTTTCATAGAAGTGTTGGCTTATCGTTCAGTTTGCACCACCAGGTGTGCGTGGGAAGAGCCTCGACAGCGCCAGCACCACAAGCGCGCGACGCCTCGCCGACGGCCGCGTGACGCCGGAGCTGCGCGTGTCGCCCCCTCCTCCGTCTCCGAACGAACCAACGTCTCCGCGACCAAGATCCGCCAACGTCTACTTTAACTACATGTCCAAGTACAAGAACCAGTCTTTAGATTACCCGTCTTCGTACTCGAGTGTCTACAACAGCCCGTCTTCTTCATCCGGCAGTATGCCTTACTTGAACAAATTCAGCAGCTCTCCGCAAACAAGCGTACCGCTGTCTTACCCCAACAAATTCACCTCTTCATCTTCTCCCTCTAACAGCCCGAAGGAAGCCAAGATTGGGCGGTCGTCCGGTATTGCACCGGGCCGACAATTCGGCTTGCAGCGCCAAGAACCAATTGAGGAGACGTTCTTTCCGCCTCACTACCCAACGCTAGTCGAGGAACAGGAAGAGGATTCCATGCTCGGAAGTTCCGATAAAGAAGCGCTTCAATGCACCGCTTCACAACCCGTAGGCAATACTGTTGATGAGAACTCGAGTGCTCAAGCGGAGGCTGACGTTACTAAATATAAGAATATTAAAACTGATATCAAAATGTGTCGGTACCCAGGGCAACTCCCGAGCTTGGAAGAGACCTCCTCTACCGAGATAAAGCCTCCGTCAAATCCTACAGAATCTGTTGATGTGACAGCGTCCGACGCTCTATTTTCTGTGGCGTCATCGGAGTCTTTCCAAAGTGATTCTGGTCCTTCAGAATCACCGCAATCTCCATCCACGAAAGCCTACGACGCGGCTAAAGCCGCCAACTCTGATGTGTCCAGCCAAAGTTACGTCATAACTTCACAACTTATCGAAGGTTCGACGCGAGATACACAAGTTTGAAAATGTGCTCTGGAACATTAGCCTCGAGAGCAATGTTAACTTTTATGCGCTGAATATATACTTTTTAATGTCATTGTTGCGGCGGTGAATGGCAATGTTATAAGGAGTTCAAACTTCCTCAACTAACCCTAAGTATCATAATGCAGTATCGATTGAATTTGTACGAATTTTATAACATTAAATTTTGCTCTTTGGTGCTCATCCACGTTTAGTGAAGTGTTTAATTAATTAATCAACAAACAAAACATTTCAATTTATTTTTTTATTAGAATTTAATAAATTCCGAACCAATTTATCAATACTATACTTGAATTGTATCAGTCAATATTGATTTGTATCAGTACAATCAATAATACTTGAATTTTATTTGCGCTCAAGTTACCAATTGTTTTATAAAAAGAAAAACTCAGTGCTAAAATTTAAAATTTTCCTGATTACTTGGAAAGATCGAAACACAAATTTCATTCCAATTGTTGATTTACTGTACATGGTTTATCAAAGTTTCTTATTTACTTGAGTAAGTATAAGAAACCTAGTTAGTTATGGAAAATAGTGACACCTTTTATAGACTGTAAAATCCTCAACAAAATAAAAGAACTTTTTAGGACAACTGTTCTCTATGTTATTTCTTGGTTCATTTTTGCAATTAATACATTACTTATATTGCTTCTATTACTTATTCAAGTAAAATTAGTCCAAATATTTTGAAGACACTATTTTGTACGAATTATTTTGTTTGAATTCTTACTGTCAGGTGGATCTTCATTACATTTATTAGTGCTCATCAAAACGAATTCGTTTTGTTTAAGTGAGCTGGAGGTGAAAGTAATACTCCGAACATTAGGTGCGTTATAATATTTGAATTTTTAATGAAAGGCCTAACAATATATTTTCTTGAACTATTTAAACAAACGAAACTCCTAGAAAAATGGTTCCGTAACATATAATTTATTAGTTAGCGGTTTTTTGTCACGATAAGCCTGAACGGTTTTCATGCTGTCGATTTTTTTAATTAACTTACTGTCACATCTTCGAGTGCGTCAATAGTCTTGCATATAGTGACGGCTTCACTGGCACCGATGATGCGTATTGTTGACAAAAAATTTGTGATGAACAGAGAAAAACAGAAAAATAATTTAATGTTATTTGAAATACGATATTATTATTAATATTTTCGTTTTGAAAATTCAAACGTTTTCGATAATTTACTCATTTCGTGTGTAACATGTTTTATAATCACTCAAACGACGATTCTTTTAATAAAGGTAGTAACCTATACTGCTAATTTCGTTTTGTAGAAATGTGCTATGAATAAGTGTATGAATAAGCACTTCAGTGACACTAACCACCAATCAGAATACGTTTAAACTTTAGGTGCTTTGAACATTCTTTAGTCTGTAAAAAACGCTCCTTTTATCACTCTAATCCACAATTTATTGAACTTCCCCTAGTATTTTTCCTCCAAACATCCTGGCTTCTCGTATGCAAATTCAGATAGAGTAGACGAAGCAGTGTTATTTGTATACAATCTATAATGTTATTCATTCTACGGAAATTGAAGTCTTTTCAAGACTGGAATAGACCACACGAGAATTTGAAGCCGATTCATCGAACGTGCAAGTCAATTAGTGGAAAAAGTAACGATAGTAGCTCACATAAATTAAGGCAATATTTGTTATAATAATAAATTTCCCTCTAATTTATTAGTAAAGCGGATAGTTATTATAACGTAAATACTGTGTAAAATACTGCGATAGGCGGTGTTCCACAAACGCTGATTACATCCCCTTAGTTTGGTTTGGTGTTTAGAAGTGCACTGTAGAACAAATGTCTTATTATGGAGCATGTAACTATATTGTTGAAACACTTACCAGTATAGACGGTTGGGTACAATGTTAAAAATAACCTAGCCTGTAGTTTTATAGACAGTATCACACCATGAGTATCAAATGGCGTTCCTCTTTAATAGTTTAGTTATGGTTTATTAATTGATAGCTTTTACTGCTCATGAAAGAAGTCACGAACTGTGATTTTTAACGCTGAACGACTGATCGATCCAAATTTTTCAATCCTAGGGTTAAAAGGATATTAATTGACTGGTTAATCATTGATAATTAAATTTTTCCCACCGATAAATTTAAAACACTAATTAAACTTAGATTGGAAACGTTATTGATGATAATTTTTAGGAATACTGGTAATCAAAATGAATTTTGTTGAAAATTGCGCTTGAGTTTCTACCGATATCCAGGAGTGACGTTGATAAAGAAGAACTGAATGCTTCGTGTAGAAAATGACCAAGTCTCAATTCTCTCCGTCTCGCATAACAACTGTGGAGATAAGTTGTCCAGTCTCAACTCTCTTCGTCTAACATAACAACTGCATGTGGAGATAAGTTATTCAGTTTCAACTCTATTCGTTTCACAAAGAAAATGACTCAGGAGTGATCAAATCTTCGAATTTAAGTGCGTAAATATAATTATTATTCTATTTATAAATGGAGTTACTCAAATAACAGTTCGAGTTTAACCGCAGTATATTGAAGCGTTCATGGAGCCTCTTGGTTATCATTACAATTAATTAATTTATATCTCATGAAAAAGAAAGTTTATATGGCATCGTAAAAAATTAAGATGCATCAGAGTAACGCTGAAAAAAAAACATTTTCTCCAGCTGTTGCTTTTATCTACAATAAATGCTACATATAATGCAGGAAATTCATTTTCTTCTGTCAAATAATTATTAATCTAATTTTTGAACCCTTTCTTAATTTTCTTATCATTTTGTTATCTCAACTGACATTTGGACATAAACTTATCAAGTTAGCGTCAACCAGGCGCTGTCAAAATAGTAATAAAGATTATTGTGTTGTGCCTTTCCCTGGGCTGTCAGTCAATAAATGCCGAGTATAATGTTTCGTTCCATTTCAATTCCTTTCATCTCAAAACGCGCGGCACAATATGGCAGTCAGACCTAAAATTGTTATGGAACAAGTGCCCTGTACGATGAAATAAAATAACGTACGATGACACATAACTTACCCCTAAATAACGTACGATGACACATTACGAATCTTGTGTAATCACTTGTACAAATTGAAAATAAAGTATACTTTAATTCGGAATTGGAAATGAATTTCGACTAATTTTGATATTACAGTACATGTTAGTAAAGAAGTTAGCTTACTAATTTATCTGGCAGTGGCTTGCAATAAAGTGTGTTTGCTAGTGAAATCAAGCATATTAAAGAAAGTTGGTAGTACCCACAGACGTAGTTAGATATTAGTGAATTATTCGTTAACCCTTCAGCGACCCGCCACCTTGCGCGTGCAAAATACTAAATTTCATCAATACCGCGAGGCTGGAACTTATTCATTTAAAAAACCTGACAGGTGACAAAAACCTCCATCTGAGCCTAGCGCAGCCTAAAATTAAGACCAATATATATATTGGACAAATAAGCTTTATATACAAACAAAAATTGACCTTTTGAAAGTCAGCAGATATGTACAGCTGGACGCTAAGGGCTAAAAATAAGTTACCAAATTTAATTTTGCAGCATACAATAACTTACGACTGTGGCGGCACTGGAGGATGGTGAAATTTACGACAGCCCAGAATCTGCTACACTTTCCACTCGAAAGCAGTTTCTTTTATAATTTTATCTTCCCAATTAAAGTTCTAGATCCCTCTTTTGAATTTATATTCACCATATAAGACTGTCAACGAATTTACTGAATCTTTTTGCAAACTGACTCAATATTCTTTTGGCTCAGGTAGTACTTGAGAATCGATGATTCAATAAAGTATGAAGGGTTTGTGAGCTTCAGGGTCGGTCAAAGTGAAATAAGGACGAAGCTTTTTACTACACATATAAATCATTCCACGAAGATCACCAACACGGCGAGATTGTACTGCTCGATTGTTGAATTCTTGTCGATTGTTGAGTTCTAAACGATGCGTATAATAATGATACGGCTAACTGACCATGAGATAATCAACTAATACGATCCTTAAATTTGTAGACATTTATGATGTTCATTCGACTGCTCTGCTGCTGAACAATTCGAAATTTGACCAACATGACAAGTTGAAAAAGAGATAAAATGCTGAATATGTATTGCGGTGATTTACGAGCCATGAAATCGCCAAGTTTTACCAGTTTGACAATTATATTCACTTGATAGGCATTATACGGCATAAACCTGCAGCTGTGAAACAGACATGGTAATCCGTGTTCCCGGATTAGGCTCCCAATTTTTAAATCAGTTTACCATAGAAGATCTGAACTTGATATTTTCTATGGATGGGTATATTTTGATCAATAATCTACGGATATTCCTCGATGTGTTCCGGAAGCTCACCAATGGGGGATAGAATATCCGATTGACCTCATATTTTTACTCTCACTCTCAGACAGGTAATAACTAATATAAAGTTGATTCAGTTACATATCACAGCCTCGTGCATAGTTCATGAAATATTTGATCCATGTATATCACTTACTTCAAAATAAAATCTTTTCAAATAAAACACAAAACTCAAAATTCAAATAAACACAAAAACGAGCATCGAAGAAGCGTATCCCATAGAAATTCCGGGCCAAACCACCTCTTCTCAAATGTAAATCGTCGCCCAACATGAAAAGAAAAACCGGACGTGGCATGAGAGTTGCTCGGTCCGATAATTCTCGGAGTCAAGACTTGAAAATGTTGCACAATTGAGCGGAAGCTCAGTGAACTCGGCTGACTTGAGGAACTGCACGAGTTCTGACAACTTAGTGGAGGAAAAGCTACGCCATTTCTGGGCATTAAAATGAAGGAATTGGACGTTGCCCTCGTAAGAATCCTGAGGCAATTTTGCTGGAATTCTAGCGACTTTTGGCTGAGTTTTGACTGAGTTAAGATCGTTGTGATATACTTGCTGCTCTCGGCGCTCATGATAGAATCTTCAGTAAATCTGAACACGTATAAATGATCAAATATTAATAAATTTCGTCGGTCGCGTGTGTACATGATCATTAACTTGGCAATAGTTCCCTTAAAAAAATCGCGATACGAAAGTCATATGTAACAATAATTTTCCATTTTAAATTATTTGAATATTTTGATTAACATGGAAATAGGCTAAATTCAGCATTATATTTACCGCACCTGCCATCAGGTTTCAGAATCTGTTCCATCTCAGACAACTAATCGGATAATCTCACGTCCATCTCCTTATAAAGATT